TCAATTTTGTTCTGAATGATTATAAATAAATATCGCAATGCTCTGCTGGTACCATCACCACTGCAGATCACGTCGAAATTTCACACTTTTTTTGCCGTGGAATGTGACCAACTTCTGGAACTTTGTTATTTCTATGAGTATAACTATGTAATGAACTTATTTTGAATCAATACAGAAAGAGCTTGAGCATATACTTCAAGTGAAATTAGAGAAATCAACCACCAGCGAAACCAGTGGGAACTAACAGAAATCACTGTGGTCAAGATCGATCTTTTTTTCCCCATGAATTTTCACTATTCCAAATCAGTATACGAACAGTTTTGGCTTTTAGACACGAATGCTCAGCAGCAGGATATGTAAGAACAATTTCCTATACAGTACTAAAATTAGCAAGAACACCTGTTCACAACCTTATTCAGAAGTATTAGAACGTACGAGTAGTATATGTTTCCTGACAATATTTATTCGGTATATTTAGATGATCCAAAAAAAGGAAGATCTCAGCTGGTGTTTCTATTTTGTGTCATAATCACACTTTCAATATACAGCATGCCAGTCTTGCAACAGACGGGTTTCACTAAGTTTTGCGGTATTGGACTTATTCATCTGCTTTTGATCATGCCAAAATTGCATTGGTTATAGAAAGAAGTTTACTGTGTACAGCACTGAGAAAATGGAAAATGCAGTACCCAGTAATCCTGCCTATATATGGAAAGATATTCAAGTCACGTTGATACATTCATAGTCACCAGCAATTTGAGTTTTGACACATGGATTATTAAGAGATCATGAAATCAACATCTTTTCTTTAAAAGAATATACTTCACTGAGAAGCACTGAAGAAACGTACATCCTAAACTTTTAAAATCTAGGCGTAGCAATAGAATGTGTAACAAATGCATTCCAAATGCATTGCACAACAATTTTTTGGTAAATCACCAATGGAAAGTCCATGGAAATTTTTAAGGCATATATAGCAGAAGAAGCTGGGTGTAACATTGATGCATAACAAATGCATGGCATTACGTTTAGCTACTGTTACATCCAGCCCTGTCTGTATCAAATTATTTGCTGGGCCTGCAATTTTTGAAAAGTTGACTATGAGGAAGAAATTCAAACAATTTTCAATGAAAGCAATTTATACAGGTACTGTATTTGTATTTCTAAGTAGCTCCAGCAGTTGCGGAAAACCTCTTTAATCATTTATACTGCAATATCCAAGATACAGCATTCCTGACCTAGATATAAATACAGTAGATCAAAAGGTCACGAAAACTTACGATTTCAAGACAAAAGTGCAAATAATTTTTTTTTAAAGAAGATTTGTTTTCTCTTTTCTATATGGAGGGTAATGGGAGACCAATGTGTCCCGTATAAAGTATTTCCTTAATTTCTCCGCAGTACCAGTCCGGCAGCAAAAACGCGCCACCAGCGGAGGCAGTCGAAGAAAAGGTGAAATTCTCCGCTCCTCCCTTTACTCCCATATATCTTTAAAAAAAAGTGTTTCCCCGTGAGAAATAAACACCATTTCTTCGCATTGGAAACTCGGTTATACTTAGTTGCTGGGGGATATGACGCATATTCCTTGGCCCAGTTGCGACGATCCAAGCCGAACCAACAAGTGGATTACATCCAAGAGCGCCAGAACAATAACGGAGCTGAGCTCGACCAGGAACCCGCGGATTTCTTCCCCTACAACGAATTCGGTAATCAATAAAAAGATGTTGAACAAAAATTGAAGAAAAGTGAATTTGATCTGAACAGATCAGAACCCAATTTTTTCAAGTGGTGAATATTTGCATTATAGCACATGGTAAAAAAAAAAAAGGGTTGAAATTGTTGTTTTTAAAATGTTTCTGTCATGAAAAATTTACTTTGTGCCAAAAATTAAGATTTCAGGTCTATTCAAAAGAAAAGGAAAAATTATGACAGCAGAATCTCATGTCATTAATGACCAATCCCTTGGGACACTTGAAAATGTATTACCGTATTTACGTGAATACCACTGGCACCTTTTTTCTCAAATTTCAGAAAAAAGGGTGTGTGTCATAAGCAGGTACAAATTTTTCAAAAAGTTTTGTGAAGTTATGTGTGCATTATACTCAATTCTAATGGAGAAATTTGAAACAAACGTAGCAAAAAAACTTTTCTTTACTGAAAAAGTTGAAAATTGATCAGATTTTTGTTCAATTCATGTCTAAAGTCAAATTTTTTGTTTTTATTTTTGATACCTTGTGGCTTTAGATTCAGTAAAAATTGGGGTGCATGTCTTACTTGGGGATACGATTTTAGACAAATTTCTAACTGGAAAACCCTGGTGCATGCCTTAATCAAGGTCAAGGGTGCATGGTACTCCAGTAAATATGGTACTGTATAATGAAAAATAAAGTAGTCCGCCATATTTTGGCTTTTTTCATCTTCAGGGAGATTTATTGAATTTTCTTGAAAACGAGAATTTGGGCAGCCTATAGGTAATTGAGGAAACCCATGTTTAAATGATCAAAAAGAATTTTTCATGTTCCTCGGGAATTCGTTGTAACAGAAACTTGCTGTATCGCATCATTCCACGCAAACAAGTGTGACTTTTTTTTTACTTCAGTCCATGCAGGGAGACAATATTAATTTTTTCAAACCGTAAATTTGTACACACGACGAGGTTATTAACCAAGAATAATACTCAAATAATCGAAAAAAAAATTCATTGTCCTTGGGAATTTATTGTAACAGAAATTTACTGAATCGCGTCATTCTACACTTGCTCTATAAAACCTTGTGCCTTTTTTTCGTTACTTCAAGGGCATAAAATGAATATTCTTGTATTCTAAAATTTTGGGCAGACGAGATTTCCAACGAACACCCCATTCAAATAATTGAAAATATTTTCTTCCGAATCCCTGGGAATTCGTTGTAACAGAAATTCGCTGAATCGCGTCATTCCACAGGGGAACAACCGGATCGGGACAACGCGAACGACTACGACGACTACGGGAACCAATTCGTCGGCGGGCAGCGAGGGCAAAACGCCGCCGCCGCGGCGGAAGCAGACCTTGACAACGACCCTCCCGCGGGACAGGGCGGCGCCGGTGGCGGCGGTCAAGACGCCGAATTCAACTTCGACTACGACGACAGCCAGCAGGGAGGCGGCGGCGGCGGTGGCGGCGACGGCGACGGTGACGGCGACGGAGCAGCAGCGGACGAAGGCGACCGTGGCCGGCCAGGAATTCCCTTCCTCGGCGGCTTCGGCGACGATGGCGGCGAAGGCGGATCCGACGGCGGCGACGACAGACTTCTCAGCGAAGTAGAAGACGCGGTGCCCGGTGGCGGCGGTGCGGGTGGCGGGGCGCCAGGTGGCGGCAGCCCCAATAGTAGAGGCTCGTTTTTCGGTTTCGGCACCAGAGGCCGACTCCGACCTGGCGCCGGGAATAACGGGGCTGGAAGCGGCGGCGCGAGTGGGACCAGTAGGTTCAGCCTCTTTCGCGGATGATTCCGTCTAGATGTCGCTCTCACGACAGCAAGTTCGAGATTAGACAATATGTGGAGGACACTATCACCATATGCGACATCGCATCTCCACTTTGAACAACAATATAGTTGATGATACGACTCGCAAACTTGAGCGATCTATATGCTCTTTTGGCACTTTCCTGATTTCAATTATAAGAAACTATATTTTCATCGTACTGATGAATATGGAGTATGGAACGTCTTTTACAGACGAACAGGTTTACGAATAAATAAAAGGCAAATTTTCTTATTCCTGAGGTCGAGTCTGAACTGCGTGGATTAATGTTAGCTAAAATTGTGAATATCACCTTTTGCAGAAGGGATGCTGAATTTTCGGCATTTTCAATTGCGAGAATTCAACGGAACGATTTTATTTCCTCTTCAGTCAATTGACTTTGAAGTTGGAGTGAAATCTTTACGACGCTCTGAAAGTTTTAAAAAAATCGGTGCGATTATGTTTTACGCCTTGAAAAGAAATTGTTCTCACAGAAAATTTCAGAGTACCCGGAACTTTCAGGTATATATTTATTTTTGAACGATGTATACGAGATGGTATTCGGGTGTTTGAGATGCGTTTTTTCTTTTCACATTACTCGAAGTCTTGGTTCATTTTGTTTTAATGGAATATGTCTAGCCCATGTTGAACGTATGCTTTTCAATATAGGTATAACAACTTCGACTTATAAAAGTGCAGTAGGTATTTTTTTATTCGCCATGAGAGATAAAAAAAATTCCCACTTTCGACGCCAGTTTTCTTTTCGTCGCGGCTTTTCGGTTCATATACTGTGTGTGTTGCAGTTTACCGAATGTTGTGTGTTGATTTACATAATTTTCTACCGAATCCAAGAGATTCTAACTTTGTTCTAACCGTAGATGTCGCTCGTCTACTTCTATATATATCTCAGTGACAATGTCATTCCTGTGAAATTTTTTCTCGAGCGAATTGTGCAGTGTTGTGTTTCTTCGCAATGTTGTTGAATTTATTTATTCCGCGTTTCGCATCGACAGTTGGAACTTTGTTACCTTGTTAGTTCTGGTGATTTGTTGTTAGTTGCTGTTTTAAAAAGGACCAGAGTACACAAACGTATTTTCTTGATATGATTGGCATATTTATTTTGAGATGATTGGCACATTTATTTTTTCCATCAGAAATTTCTCCGAACGAAGCGCCTCCGTGAGTAATTATTTGGTACAGGTGGATCTTTACAACGAAATTAAAGGGAACCAGAAAAATCGTTGAAGAGAATTTTGTCGTAGAGAAACTTTTCAACATGAGAGAACATTACAGAGCTAAAACTTTCGTTATACAGTAGATAGAAATCGACAAATCGTTGTAGACAAGATCGTGATCCACCTGCATCATTGGTTTCAACCAGAAAAAAAAAAGGAGTTATAACTCATCATCAGGGTTCCATTCTCACGTAAGTTATTGTTTCAGAGACAGGTATAAGAAGATAAAGGAGACTCTTTCACATCTCTTTGTGCTTTCAAAGTCTTCAGTGGAAACAAGCCACAAGGAAAGTCCCGACAAGCACAAGGAGGCCAGAACTGGACACAGACCGATGAACCCCAGCTGTGGTAGTGGTTTCTCCAGCTCCATCTTGCTTGACATCCGTAATGACATCCTCCGAACGGTCTGATGCACCCTTGGTAGGATTTCGTTGATACTCGGCCATTTTATTCTCATTCACCTTGAGTTGAATTGGTTGAGCTTGTTGTTGTTGTTGTTGTTGTTGTTGTTGTTGAGCAGCCTGTTGAGCGAGTAATTTTTGCTGATGCAGTTGCTGTCTTGCAAGCAATTCCTCTGGAGAAATGGTGCTTGGGGTGGTTTGCACAGTTTCGGGTTCTGATGTGCAAGAAATTAAATCATACATTCAGATCAATATTTGTTGATACTACCATGGAGTATTTCTATATACAGTTCAGTTGAACCTCTCTAAGTCAAATTTCTAAGGACCAGGAGAAAAATTTGACAGTTGGAGCTTTTGACTGAAGGAAGTTTTGATTTTTGGAGGATTTTAGTTGAGGAAACAATCATTTCTGCGGTGAGGATAAACATTAAAAAATGCAGGAAATTTTAATTGAGGATATTCTGAGCCTAAACTTGCTCATTGAGTTGACAGCTTGCTGAACTTGGAGGTTGGGGTTCATTTGTTCTATTAGTCTTTCACTTCATTTCAAGATGTATATAACAATAATTTGTTTTATTGATTTTCTGTGACAAATTACAAGGAAATAATAACCAAAAGGCCTCAGAAAAAGTGACTTGTAGAGGTTTAAGAGAAAAAGATTTGAAGTTGAGGTTTTCAATGCATTGTTTTAAGGGAATCCAGACAGGGACTTGAAAAAAATTTGAGTTAAGAGAGGTATTTGACTCAAGGTTCAACTGTAGTAATATAAATTTTCATTTACAAACAAGCAACACTGAGGAAATTGAGGAAATTCAGATAATGAACAGCCTAATCAAAACCTTCATGCTCCAGCAATATAAATTCTTAACTAAAATATATATAATTCTATAATTTTGAAATGGGCCCAACATCCACTCAGAATTTCTTTTTGTATTCTCATTGAAATAATAAATTGAAATTGGAAAAAAGTTGTAAGGTTTTGCGTTGGAACATTACATACAGTATTTGCCAATTAATGCAATTTAATTTTCAGTTTTTTGATAATCAAGCAATTTTTCTAGTTCTTCATTCTAGAGGAAAAAGCTTCTCTGAAAGGGGAGGGTTTTCTTTAAATTCATCAAAAGAAAAATGATCCTTCGGAAAATTTATTTGTCCTAATCTGTACTGGTACTGAATTTACTAAACTGTAATAGGCAAGTCAGAACTGAACTGTATTCAAATTCAAGCATGAAACTCTTTGGGCAGCAGTGCTTAAAAGGATATTTTCCATTCATTAAAAAATAATTGAGTACAGTATACAGAAGATGTGAATAATAGTCTATCATAAAATCTAAGGGGGTTTCAGTAAGAAATGAAAATTATCCTTCCCCATACAATATTTTTGAAAGATCAGAACTTTCAAGTTTCACTATGAATCTGTTCATGAATATTTCATTAAAATAAGAGTAGAATCTCTTTACGACACGACGCGTGTCAGACCTTTAAAAAAACACATATTCGTTATAAACGCGAATTTGTTCAAACGAAATTTAAAAATCCATTGCGGCTATTGGAAAGGGACCGAAAAAAAAATTCGTCGTGAGCATTATTTCGCTATAAATAAATTCATCGTAGCAAGATTTTATTGCACTTATTCTGAGCATCATGTATTGATGAACATTTAAAATGTTCTACTAACCCGTGGGAACAGCGGCATTGCTTTCCAAACTCAAAACATTTATCTGCGAAACTTCCTTCTGCTTTTTCAAAGCATCGCCAGCTTCATTAGCAGCCGGTAGATGTCGATGATGAACTGGCACAACTGAGACTTCTTGAGTCTGAGATCCAGCGCCTAAATAAAAAAAATCATTTTCAGATTTGAGAAAGAAACTCACAGTCATTCGCCAAAAAAAAAAATTGCTTACCAGTGTAAATTTCGCCCGTTTCCTGCGCAAAACACAGAGCAGGGACAAGAACTAAGATGCACAAAAAGTGAGCAAACTTCCTGGACTCCATCTTGAATTTTGGAGCCAAGTCTCGGGATAATGGCATCAAGTAAGATTGAGAATAATCGTCAACACCGTAAGTGCTGTTCAAGTAAAGCTGAGTAAGATATTTAAGCCAGCTAGTTTGCCGTTGAACCTTCCTAGGGTTCTAATGCATAAAATCACCCTGAGATACCTGAGAATTTCAGCAGGCACAATATTTCGAGGCAGAGAAAAGAAATCATATTTTCTTCACACCAATTAACGTCAACTGTACACTTGAAACATCTAAAAAAAATTTGTATGAAAATGGTTCAAAGGAGGGATTTGAACAGGGGAAAGTCATTAATTATTTAATTGGCTTGGGTTTTGGCAGCTCCATTGCCCCAGGGATCAGCACCCCTCCTCTGTAGTGTCCACAAGCAGCAAGGATAATGGCTTGGGCAGCTTCAACAGTTTTGTGCACATCGTCACTGCTGCCAACTTTTGGGTTCAGTTCAACAATTTCAATCAACCTCAGTCTTCCAGTGGCTGCGGTCACCTCAGCTATTTGAATCACTTCTCTCAATGTCAGGCCACCAGCAACTATTGAAAGACAGGTACTTTCCTGTTATCTCTGTACCTCATTCCTAGACCACACTACCATCCAGACAAATCTTTAGGACAAGTTCATAATCACAAGAACCTACCAGAAACTGTGAATTTTATTTATTATTTTTCCGCATTCTGCTGAAACTGATTTTGGGAGGTGGTTAAGTAAAGTTAGGTTAGGCCAGGTTATGTTAGTTACAAATATATTTTAACTGACACAACCTGACCTAGCCTAACTTTACCTAACTGCCTCCCAAAATCAGTTTCAACAGAAACCCAAAGAAAGCAGAAACTGATTTTGGGAGGCGGTTAGGTGAAGTTAGGTTTGGTCAGGTTGGATTGGTCAGAGGGAAGGTACAGAGATAAAAGAAAAGTAGGTACAGAGATAACAGGAAAGTACCAAAAGGCATTTTTTTAATGTAACCCTTTCGACCTGTCTGCAGAAAAGTGGAGATATGTTTGACACATTTGGTGCCCAGCATGAGCATTGAAAAGCTGAAAAACCCTAATTTTTGAACCCTGCAGGCCTATGAGTGGGGAAATTTGAAAACAGTGAGACCCCCACATGCAGCCACCTCAACATACAGACAATTCAACACAGGGACATTTCTTTTCCAATAAAAAATGCATTTAAAAGGCCTGATATGTGGACACTGCATCAACATGCAGACATTGCATGATAAAATTGCCAATAAGTTTCTGGACAAGTGGCTTTCATCAGGCTGAATTACAAGAAACAGATACTGTATTTCCAACCCAAAGATTTATATGCAAGACAAATTATTTTGCATTTCTTGCATAATTTTTCCAACCATTCAGCTAATTGAAAAAAATTACTTCCAGAACAGAGGGACTTCCTTCTGTCTTTTTGACTTGAGTGTTATTTTTACAGACGCCAACATTTCAATATACTATATACAGAGGTACAGTATTCAATGCTCCATATTCTTATTGAGTTGAAAGATATTGCCTGTATTGATTTATACTGGCAAAAAAAATTTTTCATGGAATTCTGCTGAATATGTCTTCCATAAAACATCAATTAAAATTTTTATTTTTTAAGTTCAAAGAAAAATGAGACTAGACTTGGGGGGATTTTGACTTGGGGACACTCTTGAATTTTGATGCACCAGTTATGTCCTCATACTGGGGTTTAACTGTATTTTTCTCTTCAACTAGAATAAAAGGCACATTCGAAACCATTATATTCTAACAATATCAGTGAAACCATTCAAATCAGCACTCTTCACATGGAAAGCTTGTCAGTGAACATTAGGATAATATTGTATTCTATAATGAATATAAAAAATTAATAAAAATTTGTGCGACTTTTTTCTTGGGCATGAATAGATGAGTCTGAAATCTTCAACATATTCTGAATTGTTATACAATACGTAAATTGATTGCCAAGATGAAAAGAGGCAAACTAATTCACGATTGCAAAAAAAAATCATGCTGACTATATATGGTGGCATCGCAAACAGGATTGCAATTTTAATAACAATGTAAGAAAAACTTTCTTCTGCTACATCATACGTTACATATATTCCTATCGCAATCCACTCATATCTCAAAGTAATTAAAAAATGTCATCACCTGGAAGACCAGTAGAAGGAGCAAATTCAGGACACATGGCATCGACGTCGATACTGAGGTGGATGTGAGACCTGTTTATGTTTCATCAATCAAAGTAGAAGTTACTTCTGAAATTCGAAACACGAATAATTTCAATCAATATGTTATGAGGAAACCTGAGTTCGGGGTTGATCCTCATCAGCGCTTGTCTGATGACTTCCTTGACGCCAATATCATCAATGGACTGCATGTTATATTCCAAAATGCCCAAATGATTCAGTGCAACCCTGATATCACATCACAAAAGATCACTTTCACTCCTGGATTTATTTTCTTCCAGATGAGAAAATTATTTAAAATCATTGAGGAGTGCAGCTTTTTTTGCATGGGTATAAAAATGGACATATAATACAGTGGGGGGGGGGGCAAAAAAAGTGAACCAATGTTTCACTTAAATAGCTTGGTAGGAAATTGGGTACTTTCCTGTTATCTCAGTACCTACTTTTTGTGCACCTACCAGAAACTGTGAATTTCATTTTTCCACATTCTGCTGAAACTGATTTTGGGAGGGGGTTAGGTAAAGTTAGGTTAGGTCAGGTTATGTTAGTTACAAATATCTTTCAATTAACATAACCTGACCTAACCTAATTTATGCTGAATTAACAAGACAAAGAAAAATGGGTACTGAGATAACAGCAAAGTACCAGAAATTGAGCTGTGACAATGAAAAAAGCACCAAATAAAAGTTTGTTCAATTCTTGTTGAAATGGTATGTAGTTTTATGGTTTCAAGTGAGGGGTTTGAAGGGGATACAAAAACCATTTGAAGGAAAACTTTCAGAAAAAAGTTGTCAAGCAACTTTTTCCACTATAAGCCGCTGGTCTGGAGAGCTGTTTGCATGAATAAAGAAATGCCGGATGCAATAATTTAAGCAGAAACTTCATGCATGGTGTCTTGTAGAGCCTGCACACATTCCCAAAATTCAGAAAGAGGGGGTGAAAAGGGAGAAGGAACTTGGCAAGACAGGAAGCTGATGTAGGGCTCCTGTTATTCATGCGTCCTGCTTGCTGGGTGCACCTTTCAGCTCCCAATGACCAGCAACTGCATGTAACATTTTTTCTGGATGTCCTGATTGCTCAAAATCAGTTAATTCAAAATTATTTTAACTTAAAATCAGTTTCAGCAATCCAGTCATCCAGAAAAAATTGCATGCAGTCGGGTCACTGGGATCCATGAGGCCAGCCCCCAGCAACACGCATGCAGGGCAGAAGCCCTGCAGCATCCTATCTTGCCGATTTCCTTCCCCCTTGTCACCCCGTCTTTCTGAATTTTGGGAACATGTGCAGGCTCTACAAGACACCATGAAGTTTCTGTTTAAATTATTGCATCCTGCATTTCCTTATTCATACAAACAGCTCTCCAGACCAGAAGCTCAGTGGAGAAAGTTGCCTGACAAACTTTTTTCTGAAAGTTTTCCCTAAAATTGTATTTGTAGCCATTCTTGGCACTTAAAAGCATATAGCTACATACCATTTGAAAGAGAATTGAACAAGCTTTTATTTGGTGCTTTTTACATTATTGTCACAGCTCAATTTCTTACCAAGCTATTCCAAGTCAAAAAGTGGTTCACTTTTTTTGGCCCACTCTGTACTCACCGTTCCCAAGGTTCCACATCTCTCAGTCCAATGTAAGCCAAATCTTTGCAAGATATCCTGTAGGAGAGAAAATATTTCTTAAATACAGTTATGAAAATTATCGCTTGTTCTTTTTCCTGATCTTTGCCACAATTTTAGAAGCTACCAAGCATTCATACAGCCATGACAAATATAACTGAATATCTGCTGATGATACTGAAATTTTGTTTCAATTTCTTCAAAACTCATTTTAAGAAATTAAATTTAATAGCTACTATGTGGCAGATTGATGTTTTCTTGTTGACATCAGTGACAAAGTACAGCCAAACCTCTCTATACTCTTTAATTTTGATTTCAATGGACCATAAAATTTTTGACTTAAGGAGGTTTTGACTTTTGGGAGGTTTTGAATTATAAAGGTAACAGCTACAGTAAGAAGTCATTTTTCTGGGAAACTTGGAAAAATTGCCCAAAATTGTAAATGGTGATATTCTGGTGCTTAAATGGCTTCTTGAATGAGTTGAAAGGATGCTGCACTTGGAGGCAGGGGTTCAATTGCCCAATTCACTTCTTTTAAAGCACATCAACTTATGTTTTCATTGCTTTTTTTCTTTCTTTGGTCAAGAAAATACTGGTCAACAGGCCACAGAAAATTTGACTTATGGAGGTTTGAGGGGAAAAGCCTTCAACTTAGGCAGGTTTTTAATGTATTGCTTCTAAGGGGATTCTGATGAGGACCTGAAACAAATGAGACTTAGAGAGGTATTTGACTTTGTGTGGTTTGAGTTATAGAGGTTTACCTGTATTATAAATATACTTTAAATAGGGCCTTATTGTATAAAGACTGCATGCAATTGAGTACCATCAAACACCGCCTTGTATATAAGTCATGCACCTTAGATGTTTTGCTTCAATTTTGAACAGAGATATTTCTGCAAAAGATGCACACTGTATAGTTTAATTAGGAACAGCCAGAAGTCCCAGGGTACATATATAGTCAATTAACAGACCTCAATTTTTGGCATAATTTTAATTGATCATTGGATTTATTGCATGAAAAATGCATTGAAATGGGTGGAGGGTATGTTGAACAGCACAGAAATGTTATCAAATGATGAAACTACAGTTCAGTATATGTGAGTGATTTTTTTTTCTTTTAGCTGAAACTCGTCTGTTGGATCTGTTTCAAAAAGTCTCCAAACTTGTGAACCAACTTCTCATATTCCCACCGCAGACAAAATAAAAGGGCAAGATGGTCTCACACAGGCTCCAGCCAGGCCAGGGGTTCCAAGCCATCCAGCTGGAAGTCAATGTACTTTCTAAATTCGCCGCACAGCAGCGACACTGGCATTCCGTGAGCGTTGCCAGTGTGTGACGTCATCGGGGTATTGATGTCGGCGTGGGCGTCCACGTAGACGACGGCCAGGTCGTCGACGACGGTCGTCGCGTGTCCATGCACAGTGCCGACGGCGATGCTGTGATCGCCGCCCAGCACAATGGTCAATTTGTTCTCACGCAACGACTGCTGAACTCGCTGCGACATCTATATACGAATTAGTTCACTGCAGTTTCACATACTGACGTTACTGTACATTCGAACCGCCTGGATAAGCTGACAAAATTAGTTTGTGTCATTAATTATTGGCAGTTTAATGTGTCCATCAAAAAAGCTAAAATAATGGAAAAATTAAGTATACAGTATAGGGCAATAATATAAAATGAAATTTGCATTCTTCTAAAACAAGATCAGAATAACCCTGAGATGCGTATAATATATCTAGCAAATGTTACTGTGAAATGAATTACCATGAGACCCCCAGATGCAGATATAATTGGTGCATCAAGAGTGTCCCTAAGTTGAATTGTCCCTAAGTTGAGTCTTGTTTTCCTACAGACTTACATTATATAATTTTTATTGAAGAAATATTCTTGAGAATTCCATGAAAAAAATTGTTTGCCACTTGAATTTGATTCAGTGAATATATTTTCTACTCAATAAGAACATGAAAAAATAATTATTAAAATTGGCAGAGACTAAGGTAAAGAATTAACCCTGAAGTGTTACGAAATGCTGGGGCTATGCAAGTAAAATATTTCTTTGGAATGTTTGAATTTCCATTGGATCCATGTCAAAAAGTCTCAAAACTTATGAAACCACCCTCCAGGCAATTTTTTTTTCCGCCAGCTTCAATTAAGAAATGTCGTAATCCGAATTTAAATTAATCAAGCAATATAATTTCCGGAACTTCCAAATACAGGTGAATGTACTTTTTCTTCAGAAATTTTATTCCTGTGAAGCATGCTGACAGAGGCTGAATTATCTGAAGGACAATCAGCAATCAAACATCGGATTAAATTGTAATATTTTTCTGCTTTGACGAGGCTTAATTTTTCCCCTGCAGATTTACGCATTACTTCTTAAAACAAAAATTACATTTCCCGGACCTCTATCAGTAAATTCTGAAATTAATTAATGACCTAGAAATGAACAATCTTTTATGCTTTATATTGGATTCCAAAACGTTTAGTGACGTCGAGTTTCAAACTCAAGAAGAGAAAATGTTCCCAAGCATTCGGGAAGTCGCTTTCAGTTGAATTATTCGGCAAGAGTTTCATCCATTCTCTTTCATTACATTTTTTAAATCTTGCAATGTTTTTTTTTTAATTTACGACAAATTTCTGATGAAATCGAACTAAATAGATTTCACTTAGATTATGCTGCAAATAACTAATATGGTCACACAGATGACGGACTCCGCGAAGTATTGAAAATTAGTTTTGAATTTGATTTCATTATTATAAGGAACTAAGTTTCGATCTGTGACGAGAAATGAAAAATATGCTCACCTCTTTCATGTAGCTTCCGATGATATGAACGTTATTAATCCGCGTCTTCGCCAATTTCGGCTGAATGTTTTGTAAATCCTCAACTCTCAAGTCCCCGTAATCCTTGATTTCATGTCCTAACGAAAAAAAAACAGGAGTTGCATTTATATACCCATGTGCGCTTTTCTTGTATGAGACCAGGTTTAGTATAGGAATTCCAGTTCCAAGTTATTATAAAGAAAAATTCAGCAAGAAATAAGTCCAAAATCGAGGTTTTCCCCCAAAAAATGGATAATACAGTGAGTTATATTCTGTCGTTATACTGTATTTTGGAAAATAATAACACGAAAGATTAAATTTATCAAAAATCAAGCTGAAAATGTTTGAAAGGGTTTGTCAGTATTCCCGTCCATCATATCTTGAAAAAAATGCCAAATTGAAAATATATAGCAACAAAAAAATAGATCAAAAGTCTGATGCAAGCACTTGCATCCCGTTCACCCAAAGAAACCCCTGAAACTTTGTACATTTTCTTTCAGAAGGAAAAAAGACACAGATCCGCTTAGTTGTTAGGACGCGAATTTGCCCTCGGAAATTGTAATCGCGAAAATATTTATTAAATCAAAATGTATGCAGGACCGGCAGGTGAGAAAAGATAGACGTGAAAAGTTTCACTTAATTTACCTAAGGCCCTGATGGCTGCCTCCAAAAATCCACCGTGTCGAATAGCATGAGGTCCATGATCGGTACCAACTCGCCTCTGCAAAAAATAAAAATTAAAAATAAATAAAATGTTGAGGATCAGGATGAAAAGTTCTGAAATGCATTCACAAAAGTATTGCAATAACAATAACACAAAAGTATTGCAATAAAGGATTACCGGGGACGGTAGCATTCATTTTTTCTATACAATGTATATTGTGTGATGAATCCCGTTAACTTTGCATTACTTTTCCATTTCATCTCATTGAAACTTTATACCCAGCAAAAAATGGGGGCGTTGGGCTGGGGACCATTTTGATATTGGCGTTGGCAACACCATTGCAGTGCCATTCTCTGAATGGGGCTGATTGCTGCCAATACAGATGGTTCAAAATGTCCCAAGGATTGTATTTCTGAGGTGTCAAATTATTAGGAGAATGTAACCAATTTAGAGAATAAATACTGTGCCAATGCGCACATTGAGCTAATTGCCGTGTAGTACACAGCATTTTTAATCAAACACTATTTTGATTCATACTGTTGATTGGAGAAGTTATTCATCTTGATCTTGACACATGTCAAAACCAAATGTGCACCAGATTTTGATGTATTGCTGACACAAATCTATACAGTGGCCCCCCGCCTAACAGACCTACTGCGCTAGGGATTTTTGCCTAACAGAACAGCTCTGCAGACAGTCTTTCCTCCTGCCCAACAGACAAAATCCGCCAAATAACAGACTTCTGTTGGTTTAAAATTAGTGTTGACAATTAAAAGTTTTAATTTTTTTATAATTGAATTTTGTCTAAAGGACTTTTTGCCCAACAGACTTGTCTGTTGCATGAATTCAGTCCATATAGATGGGGGCTGACAGTATTTGAAGGTCAGCAATGTGAAAGGAGGTTATTAAATAGTCATCAAATCAATAGAAGCCGTGAACACATATGAAAGGTCATAATTAATGTTCTCTGCTTGGAAAGTCTGGGGTTCTGATGCCCATGCTGGCCAAAAGAACCTTTGTGAGAGCAAAATTTAAGGCAGATTTCTGTTTCCTGGCGCTGTGAAACACATTGTTGGCAACTGTTTTTATTTTTTGGTGCATGTTTCTGTCATTTTTGGCCCATTATTCTGTCACATAAGCTAGGTGTTATAAGCTAGGTTTAAAAAATGCAAAAGCCAGTTTTTTGTTCTAGCTGTTGAATAAAGAGAGCAGTTGGGAAATAAAGAATCTCAACTTTTACTATATTTTGAACAATTTGTTTCCTTCTTTTGTTTGGCTTCTGTCACAATGAAGCCAAGCATTTTACTTCGTCTGCAAATCAACCTGAGTCACACTTTAGGAACTCTAAAAAATAGTCCCTTAAATTTTTTTAGAGTTTTCAAAGTTTGATTCAGGTTGGCATGCGGACAAAGTAAAATCTCCCACACATGTAAGACCACACACAAATTTGTATGCAGCAAAAATTGTTCTACACAAGATTGTTTTGAATGAATGAATGAAGATAACACTTTATTTGCCGCTTTTCTGCATTCACAAGGTACAATCAAGATTTCCACATCCAAACCCCCTCCCCACCCAACCAAAACCCCCTCAAAGACATTTGATCACTTCAAAGCAGGAAACAAAGCACAAGTTGATGACCAAAATAAAAGAAAATATAATCCACAAAATAAAACTGGACATCTGACATGTCTGCATATACTCACTCATTTCCTGACATTGAAAATGAAATAGCAATAAAAGTGTATTTAAAGCACAAGGTCTTCAGCTTGTTTCTGTATGAGGTTTAGTTGAATGAATAATTTAGAGAGAAAGATTGTTTTAGGGAGCTAGTGTTCAACTGTACTATAGAGACCACTACTGTATATCAATTGCAATTTCATTCTACCTGTACAGTATGTTCAAAATGACAGCTGAAAAAAAGAGATAATTAAGAGAACCTGGCCTCCACGGAAAGCAGCCCCAATGATCCCAACTGTCATGGGACTCGGCTCCATTGAGTGGTACCCAGCATTAACAAATCCATCTCCCAGCACAAGGCCAACATTATTTCGCCGAGCTGATGCTGCCAAAAACCTGGACAAACGCCTAATCATCATCGTTGACATATTTTTGCTTGACAGATGACCCCCGGCATCATTTGCATGAAGAAATTGATCTCATGACGTGGATTTGTCTTCAAGTCAAAAGGGATCATGCTCGATGGCTATTGAGTCCCAGAAAACAATTAGAGTAGGAACTTATTGAAGGTCGATTTCATCCTTTAAACAATGAGATAAGGATTAACTTATTCTTTGTACACAGTGGAGGAAATGCAGTAGTCTGTAATGCTCCACTCACAGCATTGATGCAGCAATTATTGGGATGTTGTCATATGTTCAATTCATGGAAAAGTCTGCCATTTTTCTGGACAGCTGTATACATATGGAAATAAGCTGACTGTATGAGAGAAGCCTTTCTGAATGGTTCATTATGTCGAGGATGTAAGTCTAGAAAGAATGACCATAACTCTTTTTTGAGAGCACAACAAACTAAAAAAATAAAAATAAAATAATGATGAGAACATAAACCCAGCATGCATCATCTCTTGCTTTTCCTCAAACTACTGTAC